GGTTGTGGTTTCCTGTAATAGTCTCTGTTGCAAAAAGAAGTTTCCCTGATGATGGAATACCACACTTATCTGTGGGTAAAAGGACAAATATTTAGGATGTAGTTAGTTAGGGTTGTTCTGGTTTAGTAAAGTGCTGGTTGAGGACTTCCTCCGAGATCCATGATTTCACAGGCCTTCAATAGTATCAGACGCGGTTTTCCCCTTGTTGGGTGGGTCTTAAGTCCTCTTAGGGAGCTGTTGGTTACTGCCAAGGCATTTGTGCCACTACCGCACCCTTAGAGGTATCATGTTAAGCTGATTGTTGTTATGGTTCCTAAATGTTTCCTAGGTGATAAAACTGGATAGGACTGTTGGTTACTTCCTTCCTTTGGACCTTTTCATGATGCGTTCTGGTACCATGAAAGATAGTCCTCAGAGAAGAGGATTTCAGGTCAACTCTAGCTCAAGGACATCTGGGCCCTGTGTCTAAAGTGCCTGGTATTTACATTAAAGGGGACTTACCTTCCACCTTTGGGGACAACCAAGGGCAAGAGCAATAGTCTGTAATGTTTGGGGGATTACTTGGACAACCCTGACCAACATATTAAATGAGGGCTTCTCAGATCAAATGTGGGATTTCTGTTAGATGGTCTTGGTTTCTTGGAGGGAACATTGTCAGCCCAAATGGGAAATTTTCACTTGAACTACATATGTACGTCACATATTTATATATCGTATAAAACAACTCAGTGTATTTTAGATATTTTTAGGTAGATAGTTAATATTCCTTTTGGCTTTTCCCAGACCTCTTTACTGCTATTTTAACTTCCTTCTTCTGTATTTATCTTCTTAGACCCCCCAACCAGAACCCCCCCTTTTTCATTTTCTTCATCATATAACAAGCACTGTGCTTTTCTCCCTTTTATTGCTTGCTCCAGCCCCCAGCATGTCAATGGTCCCTCCCTTATTATCTTCCGGGATTTCTCAGTTCCTGCAGGCTATGCATGCGCATCGGAAGATTTGGAACTAGGAGCTCCAGATGAGCGTGAGCATGTGATGCTTGTCTGTCTGGGTGTGGCTTACCTCACTGACAATGTTCTTTTCTATTGCCAGCCACGGATCTCCAAAGTTCATGGTTTCACTTTTTCTTTACTGCTGGATGGTGTTCTATAGTGTATATGTACATTCTTCATTATCCAGTCATTTCGTTATCCAGGACAGTTAGGCTGTTTCCACTTCCTAGCAATAACTGCCAAACTCTCCACACAATACTGAGCAAGTATCTGTGGATCCCTTTGTGCACATGCCGAAGAGCGGTACGTCGGGTTCACATGGTGCTCGGTCTGCTCAGAACCACTGAAAAGGCAACAGAGATTTGCCCTCCTTGGTTTTAAAATATGTTTTTACCCTTTTGCTTCTTATCACGTGGTTTATAAATTATACCTTGTACAGTAAACTGCAAAGATCTGTGTCAGCATTCTGAGTCAAATACAAGTAAATGTGTAGGGAGGAAGGGAGAAGGAAAAAGGGAGGGAACACAAAGTCATCTCAAAGTAATATTCCATTAGCACCCATGTTGATGGAGAGAAATGGAAAAGAGTAAAAACAAAACAGGTTGTTTTGCTTCCATTCATGTTGGGATTAAGAATCAGACCTTCAGAAGACAGGCAGAATCCCTGAAGTTCTTTGGCCAGCCAGTCTAGCTCAGTCAGTGAGTTCCAAGTTTAGGGACAAAAAATATGGTGGTAAGCAATAGGAGAAGACACCTGACGTCAAGCTCCGGCTGCAACGTGCATGCGAGCACCATGTATGCACACACACACACACTCGCACACACACGCATGTACAGATACACAAACAGTGTATTTAAGGTCTTTTTGCAAAAGGATTAAGACCTTCTACACCATCAATAAAAATGGGTGTGCAGAAACTCTTGTCTTACTATGCCAATTCTGGATATGATGCTATATTAAAAAAATAAAAAACGATTACCCCATAGTGCACTGTAAAGTTAGACATGTTTATAAGGAGCACAAACTTAAACATGAGTTTTAAAGGGCAGCATATTCTAGTCTCCAAAAACATTTAGCAAATAACCTTTGAGTTCACATGAGCCACCCACACAAAAACCAAAATGAACTACACAGAAAAAAAAATGCGAAAGCAACTGTCTGTTGACAAGATTTTCTCTCAGCCCTTGAGTTTTTGTCTATAAATAATCTGTTTCGAGTCTGACCACTGTCTTCAGCCGCCCTCCCTGACATGTTCTCAGTTCAGTGTATCTTAAAACAAATATTAAATGTGTAAATCATGGAAACTATTATGTTTTTAGAGGAGAGCTGTTGGAGATATGTGCTTTTTAGATAACCAAAGTGTCAAAATGAAACACTAAGATGATGTATTCTTTCTTTGGAGCATCTGTTTATCTTTTGTGAGATCTTGAGCTTGATAAATCACTGGAGATAAAAACTTCATTTTTAACTTATCGTCGATCCCAAACGCCGAGAGGAAAAATAGTGCCGTGTCTTCTCCACTTTAATTTACCTCTCTCCCTGCTGAGGACTTACAGGGGTTTATTTGTAGAGAAAACGTAATGGTCTGTTGACTGGAAAATGATGGCTTTTGCTCAGAAACCTGAGAACTTAAGGGAAATAAAAAGAAAGCAGTCGTTGTCAGATATGATAATTTAACATGTTTTAATATCTGCCTAAAGTGGCATGGATGTGAAACTGGAGAAAGACCACAGGACAGATTTTTAAGCATTTTTTTGTTATATTTTTTTTCAGTTTGTGTGTCTGTGTGTGTTTCTGTGTGAGTGTATACCAGATGTGTGCAGGTGCCTAAGGAGTGCAAAGTTGACAGATGTCTGGTGCAGGTGTTATAGGCAGTTGTGAATTGTCAGCTATGGACGCTAGGAGCTAAACCTGAGTTGTCCACAATAGCAGTGAGAGCTTTTAACTGATGAGCGCTCTCTCTCTCTCTCTCTCTCTCTCTCTCTCTCTCTCTCTCTCTCCATCTCATAAAGTAAGGTTTTTATCAGAATTTTACCTTCATCTATTGACACTTAAAAGCCTCTGAACAGTCATAGCAGAGTAGGTATTGGATACTTAATGGGGACATGGTTTTTTAGATCAATCCAAATAACGGATGAAGGTGTCTTGTGGGATATAGATAACATATGTATTCTACTCTTCAAACACACACACCTCAAAATCATTCTAAATTTCTTTCTTAATTGGCAGTCTGGCTAATCAAGACATTCCCATAGATTTTATGTGTATGTGTAAATATTGTTGAGAATATTCTTCTGTATCTAAGAGGACTAAGTCAGTCAGTGAAACAGCGTGGCATGAATGCTCGAACTGACCGCAGCTCCACGTGGAAAGGTGTCCCTACCAGTGTCTTGCCTTGACCTTATTTTATTGTTCTTCAGCCCTGAGCAGGTTGAGACAAAGTTAATTGTACACCAACCCATTCTGGGCCACAGGAGGACAGGTTTGTTTGGTTTTTTTTTTTTGTTTTTTTTTTTGATAACTGCCACAAAAAGCTGTTTTAAGGAGATAGCTTTCGTCCTAGGCCTCAGAGGTTCCTAGAGTCCCCATAGCACATGACCAATGGCAGCTGTGAGCAGGTGACATTCGTTTGCCCTTCTCTCTCCTCCAAGAAGTATGCAGAATCAAGCATTGCCTCCTACCGTGGAACTAAGATGTTCTGGAGTTTCAAGTCTCCCTCCATTTTCTCACTCCATCAGTTACCCAAAGAGCTAGCTTTTAGAGCAATCCACCTGAACATGGCATCTGCTGACTGTATCCAGAGGTTGCGGTTCATTATGTCAGGAAAGACATAGCAGGCCAGGTCTGTCTGTGGGGGCAGGTGTGTGTGGCAGAGGCTGTTCTCACCACAACAGACTAGGAATCAGGGACTAGGGTGGGGTGGCAGGACCAGGAATTATCTTCAAAGCCACCCCTAATGATCTGATTGTACTATCTAGACCCAACTCCAGGCATTTCCAAATTAGCACCCGGGTATAAACCAACAAAACAGAGGTCTCTGGGAAACTTAAATCATAAATCTCTGCCCACCCATGCAGGGTTTGTGCAGGTCGGGATAGAACCTGGGGTAGGCTGTTGCTTTGCTGGCTGCGGCAGCATGCTAACTGCCAGAAGAGCCATGGTCAAGGGAAGGCGGTGGGAACCCAGCTCTGAACCCAGCAGTAAGAGGACAATCAAGGCAGGTTAGACAGTGAAAGTGTTTGTCCCTGTCAAAGAAGAGGACTGAAGTCCAGGGCTGGCAGGGAATTATGCAAACGTCTTCCAAAGTGAAATAACACAGTCAAAACCACATGTAGGGAAGAAAGTCTATGTTCCGGTGCTTATTTAGATAAAAACTGGTGCTCACACTGCAGGCCTTTGATGAGAGACTGGCCCTGGATACAGAGGAGACAAAGATCCTTTATAGAAACTGTAACATGTCAGAACCAGTAAGGCTAATTTAAATACCCACTAAAGCATGCACTGTAAGCCATCTTGGGCTTCCCTTCACCATTCTGTTGGAAGGTTGGTTGAAGAAGGATGACTGAATACATCCAGGGGAGCTTGGGTCAACATCTGGGGCCACATCTTGTTTCTACCACACAGTGAATGCCATGGCAATTGCTGTGGAAGAGGGTATTTGAAGGTCAACACCAAAGGGACCAAGGCTGCTGGGGCTCTCTTCATGGAGTCAGTGGACTGGGAATTGAGTGTGTTCTCTCATGGTGGCTCGTGCAGTGGCTGAACCCAGGGTTTTCTGGTGGTTCCCATGGAGGCTGGCCTTGTGATCGCCCCAGCAGACTGGGGAAGTCACTGACACAGATTTCAGCCCTTGCAGATCGCTGGCACGGAACTCTCCATGTCCCCCAGCAAACACAGCGGGCTAGCATGCTGCCATTTGTTTCTGCCACAACCACGAGGCTATCCTGCACATGGCCGCGCTGGCAGTCCCCGGGGAGGATGCTCACCTTTCTGTCTCTTGCCTTCCAGTTGCGCTAGAGCAGTTCTCCACAGCAGTGAGGAGCTGTCCCGACAAGGAGGACCAGGCTTTGCTAATGAAGGTAGGTTATCAGCTAAGTTCTTATTTCCTTAAAGCCTCTTAGCATTTTTTTTTTTTTTGATTGCCCGGAGGAGAGTTCCTTTTTTTACAAGCGGGAGAAAATTTATCATCTCTGAATTTTGTGCTCCAGGGGGATATGCTTGTCAGTGGCTGGCGGGAGGGTGGCTGGTTAATGAGCACAGCCCGCAGTCTGTGGAACACAGAAGTGACAGGGAAGTGGGTGTGGAGGACCAGCAGCGAGCCTACGGGATTCTCAGCGGACTTGGTCGGTTTTATTTAAACTTCTCTGACAGTCTCGATTCTTTTAGCAGATTTATGAGACTTGGCCAAATTCCATGTCTCCGACTATACTTTTTAATTAAGACAAAGGATCCCATGCCTCAGTTGGCCCTGTCCTCCCTTCCGTCACCAGAGCGATTGCCACACAAATTAGACCGCTTGTGTCAACTGCTGAGACAGTCAACTCATGTCATAGGTTCTTTGTCCTTGAGTCGAAAACAAACTCCTTTTCCTCTCAGGAACAATCATGTTATTTCTTCCCAGATGGCATGGATAGAGGTGTGGTACAGCGTATATTTAAGCTGTGCATCTAGGAGAGCTGAAAGGGGTCAGGCAAGCCGCCTGTGCGCTTTTAATAAAAACTGTCTGAAGGCAGAAAGCAGCAGCTCACAGGCATAGAGGCACACACATTTCCACTGATGACTAAGCCTCCTGTTTTCACCTAGAAATGTACAGACTGACCTTGGTCACCAGTGTTTCCATGATGTCATTTCCATTCTGTGCCATCAGGAAACCGTGTGTGCCGGGAGTTGCACTTCTTTACCTAAATACAGTTTCTTTACCAGGTGTCTTCTGACTTGAGAAATGGGTGGGAAAAAATAGGATGTCACCCTAAGGGATTTTCAACTCATTTGCCTAAGGTGTGATATTTTTGGTCTGTCTATTCTTTGGGTTTTTTGTTTGTTTGTTTGTGTTATTTTTTTTAAACTTTCAGTGTTTATTTTATAATAAGGAAGGGCTGCTGATTCCAAGTGTTGGGTTGGTCTAGGAGCCTCAGCTCATCTGAGTCCAGGGTATACGAGGGGCTTGGCATGTGTGTGACAGGTTCAAGCCCAGGAGCTAGTGTGAGGTCTCCCACACTGGTTTCAGTCCTGCTCTGAGCTCCATTCCTCAGCCCATCCTTCCAGGTACTAGCCAGCTTCCTGTGACCTTGAAGCAGCCTAAGGTCACAGACACTCACCCTTAAACCACTCACTCACTCTGCAAGACCTTTGTCCTCTTCCTTCACATTCTGTCCGGCATCTTCTACTCTCTGCTCTTTCATACCTCTCTCTTTCTCCTGCCCTGATCACCCTGATGAGAGACTCCTGGGCCTCACTCCGTCCTGCTGGAGAGCTTCACAGAAGCTTATGTGGGCGTCTCAGAGGCAGAGTGGTTCAGAGAACAGAGCCACTAAGCCCAGAGACTCATACCACCAGGCCTACTTCTGATTGCCCTTGTGGTTACATGTCCGAGTCCCTCTCTAGATTTCTTCTGATCTAAGTCAAGTAGCTGAAGATGGAAGCTACCTGAAGGCCTCTCCCCCCACGCTTCCTCCTGATGCTTCCCATGCCTCACCAGCTGGCTCCTCTAGTCCACTGGGTTAGACACAATCATTTGGACTTAGGGGAAGATCAAGCTTTCCAGAGATGTCCTGGAATGTGTGCATGTCTCTGCATTTTGTGTTTTCCCTGATGTTTCTTCAGACTGTATGACCACAGTAACTGAGAGAGATGTCTGTAGGCGTTTTTACAGTATCTTCAAGATATCTGAGGAGGCTTTATCAAAGAAGTTTCACTGAACCAAGAAAAAAAAAAGTGTGCTCAGTTCATATCTACCAAAACTACTTTGTGTTTTTCTTTTCAAGAGATTGAGGTTTCTTTCATGTCACCTTATGAGAGGCCACCATGTGGGTGTGACAGGAATGTGTAGGATTTTTTGTGGATTCATGTAAAAGAATGTAGGGGAACAACAGATCATTTTGAACACTTTCAATCAGCTGTCAATTCTGTGTTCAGTGTGCTTTGGAGTTTATATGTAGTAAATTTCTTGTGTGTGTTTCTCTCTGTGTGTGTATGTGTGTGTATGATTGAGCATTTCAACGATGTTTTTTGACAATATTCATCTCCCTCCCCCAATTCCTTCAATATCCACCTCCCTTCCTTACCCACCCTACTTTACAGCACCCACCAAAACCCATCAAGTCCAATTTGTGCTGCCCAAATATTCCTGGATGTGTGACCTTACACTGGGATGTGGGCAACTTGCCAGGGCCTACACCCTTAGAAAAACAACTGACTTGCCCGTGTCCATTTAGCAGAATAATAATAATAGATTCTCATTTAGTGCCTGTGACCTGTGTAGCCATAGGCTCTTGGCCCATTATCAGGCCAAGTATGAGTTTCAACATTTGGAGCAGGGCTTGAATCCTATCAGAAAGTAATTGGTTGCTTACACGATGTCCCTGCCACTAATGGTGACTTTTCTCCTCCAATGGTACATATATAAAACCTTTCAGGGTGAGGAAATCTAGCCAGTAGAGATGAAGGTTCTGGGTTAGTACCAGCTTGATTTCCCCATGCTCACGTTCATAGATGTAGTCAGTATCTTCAGCAGCAGGATCTTACTGTCAGCTTCTGGAGTGTGACCAAGAAGTGTTAATGGTAGTCTGTAATATGTGAGGTCTGTGGGACCTCCCTGGCCAACAACTCCAAAAAAGGTAACCCATTCTTGGCACTGGGCTTTTTATTTGTTAGACTGTGTGTCTAGTGGGGGCATTGCCACCCTATTGCACAGTAACTCTATTTTAACTCTTTTTACAAGTGTGAATATATATGTATATACATATATACATGAAGCTTCTCCAGTAGATTTCTGTATGAGTTCTTTGAAATGTCCTTAGTGTTATTTATCCTCCCCCATATTCCCTTCTCTACCCTTCCCTCTCTTCTCCCGCCCCAATTTAACACTTCCTGTTCATTATTCTCTGTTATAAATTTCAAAATTTGATTTCACCTCATGATAATTTGTTGGGGGCCAAGAATCAACAACAAAACCACAAATACTCACCTGTCAGGGGGAGACTGTGGCCAAGAAGGTGATGTTCCCAGGGCAATGCTCATTTTGGGATGTACTGACCCTTGTAATTTCTCCAAACTTGGGAAGCTTGACTGTTTCATATATGGTAATGATGTCATATTTCCATGCATGTTGTTGATTCCTACTATATCAAACATTACCAAAACCAGAAGAAGGTGCTTTAGTCTAACCTATGAAGGTGTTCCATAGATGGACCCCCAAGAAGATAGAAGAGATGAGCAGAGAGAAGCATGTAGCTACACCAAATTCAAATATCCCTGGGGGAAAAAAACAAAGAGAAGCAGTGGAACTCAAGGTGATGGAAGCCGGAGCTTTTGTCCTCCTTTGCCATTTTATTGCCTCCTCTCACCTACGTGTCTCTTCATTAGTTCGGGGTCTTGACTATATTAGCTCTTCCAGCTCCTGGTAGCCATTGTGCCTGAAAGCCTGCCTACCTCTGGCTCCACCTATCACTCCCTGAACCTCCAGGTCTCCCGTAGGCTCCAGCCACACACCCTAGCTAGTCTACACTCAACTCATTCTCCACTTTAGTCCACCATCTCAGTCTTCTTCCTCCACTGGCCTCAAAACAGTGGGGAGGTAGGTGGCTTTTCCCTGTCCCAAAGGTGCCATCAGGCCCCATATGTCCATTCACATTCTGTGGTAACTTTCAGAGTCTTCCATCTCTTTATGTCCCAAGAAAAAGCATGTGGACTTGATCCCTTAGCAGCAAGCTTCGTCTCCACTCTGCCAGGAGCCAGCCTGAGCCCTTGGACAGTTCGTATTGTCTCTCTTAGCCTGGTGTCTTCTCTTGATAAAAAGAGAAGGGGAGTGGATGGCCCCACCCACACCCTGCAGATATGTGGCTGGACATAGGCACAGCCCGTGACACCAAGTGTGCTTCGGCAAAAATCCACATGGACCCATCCACCTCTCGCAGGCTCTGTCAAGGAAACTCAGTTGCCTCATGCCCTACATCTCATTTTCTAGATTCATTTCTGTACCTGACTCCATCCTCTTTGGGAAAAGGATGATTGCAGAATTTGTCATCCAAACATGTTTGTGTGTGTGGTTTTTTGCTGTTATTGTTTTGTTTTTTTGTGGGTTTTGTGTGTGTGTGTGTGTGTGTGTGTGTGTGTGTGTGTGTGTGTGTGT